CTCTCCATCCCTTAATAGCGGGACCTCACCGGGGCAGTTCTGCAGGGACAGAAAGTCTGTTGAGGCATAGGAGATGCTTGGAAGTCTATTCTATTGGGGGGGGGGAATTGAAACCTTGGCAGGTTTTATGCAGGTAACCGCTTCCTCTCCCTCCCCCCCCCTTAAAAAAGAAAAAGAAACCACAATCCAGACAGAGAAAATTAAATCCTGATACAATCCAGCAATAAATTGAATATGCTCAGGCAGGATATGTTGAATTTCATACAGGCAGGTAAGATACAGCAGGATTCATAGAAAACTAAGCTTTGAATACATATATTTCTATATACATTTATATTAAACAAAGTCACCCTGTTTCACTCTGCATATGTGACAAATTGCTGTTGGCTCCTGGTAGCAAGTTGCTAAAGGTCCTACCCTGTTTTGTTAGGGGCACTTTTTGGTAACAAGGAAGTCAGAGGCTGCATCCACACAACCATGCTTAACTGAGTTAGGGGAAATAACCCATTCTTTGGGTCTGCACAATACACTTCGTCATTAACTAAACTGGGTTTGCACCACACAAAGCCACATCCACCTCCCCCACACACACTTAACCGAGATTAACACAAACCAAGCTCAGCACGTTAGGTGAATGCAACCACTTGGCCTTTCATGGACGTGGTTCAGCAGCATAAAGCCCAGGCAGTCCTCAACTTACCACAGTTCACTTACTGACCGTCCAAAGTTACAACAGCACTGAAAAAAGTGACTTGTCCCCATTTTACACACTTAACAACCGTTGCAGCATCCCCAGAGTCAGGTGATCAAAATTCAGACGTTTGGCAACTGACTCGTATTTGTGACGGTTGCAGGGTCCCCGGGGGGTCACATGGTCCCCTTTTGCAACCTTCTGACAAACAAAATCAACCGGAAATGCCAGATTCACTTAACGACCAGAGTTAGTAGCTTAACAACTGCAGTGATTCAGTTAACAACTCTGGCAAGAAAGGTCGTAAAATGGAGCAAAATTCACTTGGCAACCGTCTCGTTTAGGGATGGAAATGTGTGGTCGTTAAGTCGAGGATTACCTGTAAGGCAATGCTTTCTCAATCTGTTAGATTAAAACTTCCGAAGCAGGAAATTGAACTGGAGTTTTGGGAATAAAATGGATGGGGATTCTCAGCAAGCAACACTTCAGGTTCTTGGGAAAAGCTGTGATAAAGCATTAATAAAACGAATGTTTGCAGCGAGGGCACAGCTGTTGTCTTACTCTCCTTCTGCAAATGTGGAACAACTCTTACGAAGAGCAACGCATTTGGAAAGGTTATTCTTTAGGCAAAAGAAGGCTAAGGCTGGCAAGCTATATCATCAATGTTATCTCTGCTAAAATGAATGTCATCTTCCTTTCACTGCCATGACTCCAAACCAAAGAATCAAAGAACTTTGGAACTGACATTTTGTAAACAAAATTCAGAGTTAAGGGAGGAGGTAGTCCTTGACTTAGTCTAGTTTCAAAGTTAGGGACACTGAAAAGAGTGATTTATGATAGATTTCCATGGCAGCGTCCTCTTGGTCACGTAATCAAAGTCTGGGCACTTGGCAACTGGCCTGTATTTATGACCGTTGCACCATCCTGGGATCATGGAGCCACTTCCGAACCATCTTTCAACAAGCAATGTCAATGGGGGGGAGCGCCTTGCCTTTAAGGACCACATCTAGCAACTGCAGTGATTTACTTAACAACTGGGGCAAGAAGGCAATAAGGTTGGGCATGACTCACTTGGCAATTGTCTTCCTTAGCAACAGAAATATCGTGGTTGGGAGTCGAGGGTCTACCTGCAATCTCCTGCATGTATAATTTCCAGGGTTGTTTTAGGAACCTAACATTCATTTCAAGTTATCTAAAATTTGCCGTTCGAAATCTAGCTTGTTGAAGCAAATGAACAACAACAACAACAAAAAAAAAAACCTTTGGCAAATCTTCTTTGTCCAGTAAGACCATGCAAAACTCAAAGAGTCTTGAATTTTGTTCTGATTTTTTTTCTGTGGGGGGGGGGTGGAACTATGTTCCTTCCAATGTAGAAGAGGGTAAAAGGTGAAGGTTTTTTTTTTCTCTCAGCATGTGGGTTGGTTTCGTTACTGGGCTAGTTAACATCTTCAGTGGAATAAACTCTGCTTGAAGACGTTACCTGAAGATGTAATGAAACATTCAGAAACCAACCCACGAGCTTGAAAAATGAATCTTCACCCTCATCCTACGCCCAAGCTACAGATATTTGCCACTATTGCACGTCAACTTGTGTTAAAATGACACAGATAGAACAGTAAGGGTTATGGATGTCCCCACTAGTAATTTTCAATTATTTTCTAGAGTCACTCAGTCATTGTTGCGCCAAAATAACAGTAATCAGGACAGGCTTTTATCACTCAATGATGTTCGTATGATGCTATGAAGCCCCTTTAAAGAACTAGTGAGGAAATGACCCAAACAAGGTCCTTCCACCCAGTTTTTAAGCTATTATTTTTAAATTCAGCTCCAACTAGACCACGCAACTGGTTTTGCTATTTGTTGCACAAGAAAGCATCCTGGAGAAATAACTTTGCATTAGTAAAGTTTCATTATTGCAGGTGCTGGTTTGAACTTTGATTCATTCCAGAATAAACTAACAAGATTTAAAAAAAAAAATAGTATTCTGCCAATTTATTCAGGACATTAGATATTGGGTTTGTTCAAAACACACATTGGAAATATTGTATGTTTTGTCCTAGTCCTCCAGGTTATGCTACAGTCACAGAAACGTGAAGAATAGGGACCCAGGGACATAAAGGAAAGGCGATAATGCATGGATTGCTGTTTGTATATGTGTGTGTGTGTGCGCGCAGCAGTGTTTCTCAACCTGGGCCACTTGAAGATGTGTGGACGTAAACTCCCAAAATTCCCCAGCCAGCAAAACTGGCTGGGGAATTCTGGGAGTTGAAGTCCACACATTTTCAAAGGGTTCAAGGTTGAGAAACACTGCTGGATGCTAATAGCACTGAATACTGGAGGGCAGTCCAGAGAACAGGAAAGGATACATTATTGAATAGCAAGCATGCTGGGTATTTCTAATGATTGTCTTTGCATCTAAACTCATTGTCCTCATCTGGTTTCTGTTGCCTCTAACACACTCACTGAGGGAGTAAAAAAAAAAAAAATGAGGCCATTAGCAAAAAAACAAGACATGCAAGTCATGGCACAACGCAGGAGGTCATAGCTCAACAGATAGGCCGTAGGATCTGGTCTAACCTATTGGTTTTTCTGTGCATCAGATTCAATGGACTAGTTCAGGAAAGCTGATGCTGTAATGAAGCAGTTTATTCCAAGGAGCAGTGGGAAACTGACTAGCATCCAAATTTGGTTGGGGCAAGAGTAGAGCCGCTGAAATCAAGAGGACAAATTGGCCATACAATGAACATTCAACAAATCTTCTTCACCCAACTGAGTTGGATGCAACTGCTAATAGCCTGAGAGGTTTTGTTTTCAAGAGCCATTTGTTGGGAGTTGTGGGTGCTCCATCACTGGAGGTTTTCGAAGATCTCTGAGGTTCTTTCCAGCCCTATGATCCTATGTCCTATGTTGCACAGCCCAGGCAAGTCAGGGGGTAGGCTATCCTTATAGGGAGGCAAAGTGGCTAAAAAGCCAATTTTAGCAGAGTTTTATGCCTCCAAACAGAGGCATTTGTTTTGTATGTCAATCCTTTGCATTTGCTATCAATGCATCTTGAGAATAGAGCAGGTCTCTTTTTTCATAAATCATATATTGAGATATGCAAAGTGCACCGATCTGTTGACAGATAGGAAGTATTTTTTTAAGTCAGTTGGGAAGGGAGGATGAGTACATGACTTCTTTGCCAGTATTAATCTATGCAGTTTTCTAAAATACAAGGTGTTTCTCACAGAGAAACCGTAAACTAAGACAGAGTATGGAAAACGACAGCCTCTGGATGACCAAAAATACAGCTTCCACTAACTTACCTAAGGCGGCCTGGGAATTCTTGAAACATTGCTTTGCAAAGGGGAAGAAACCTACTGATATTTATCTCCAACTTTTTTCCTTTCTTCACTCCAAAGAAGATTCAACTCACTAGGGACATCCAGTGAAGCACTTTTCATCCTCTGTGTGGGGCCATCGAGGGGAGAGCAAGCAACAAAAGCAGTGTTGCATCATTGTGAAACAGGCTCTGCCCCATTTGTACCTGTGTTTGACAGCATTTCATCGTTTGGACAAAAGCATTGTACCCAACGGGCAACTCGGTTTTCAGCCTCATCTCTCTAAAGTGACTCATTGGTCAAAACTGTTACAAAGTTTTACAACCCAAAGTAAAAAAAAAAAAAAAAACCAAAAAAAAAACAATAAAAAGATCAATGTTGTATGTGTGTGTGTGTGTGTGTGTGTGTGTGTGTGTGTGTGTTTAAAAAAGAAAAGCCACAACAGCTGCATATTATATCCTACAAGCACTTAAAAGTACCACATGCCAAAGAAACTGGACAGTTCCAAGTTAGCTTTGTTGCGGAGAAGAAATCAAAATGGGGAACTCCCAATTTGTACACCTGGAAAAGAAAAGAGAGAGAGAGAAAGCGGGAGAGAGAAGAGAGAGAGAGAGAGAGAGAGAGAGAGAGAGAGAGAGAGAAAGAAAGAAAGGAGGAGAGAAGGAGAAGGGGAAGAGAGAGAGAGAGAGGGGGGGGGAAGGAGAAGGACGAGGAGAGAAAGAGACATTTTGTTCCTCATGCAATCAGGGAGGAAAGTGTTAGGTCCAACTCTGACACCCACCTATGATAGCCCTTTCTAGGAACATCCATTGTGCAAGTCTCTTTTTCTAACCCAGGAAAGAAAATAAAAACTCTGTCTCTTAGGAGGAAAAGTGTGGGGCAAATTCCACAAGGGATGGGTGTGCTCTTCATTTAAGACACTTTTCTTGAATCTACAGAGTCATCTCCCCATCCTCATCCTCACCCACCCACCCACCCTCCCAGTAAAAACCCAGAAAAACTTTTGGCTGCAGGGAACAAATCAACCCAGGTGCTGAAGCTTCAAGGGGGGAACAGACTCACTCCTAAGGTCAGCTTGGAAGAGGACACGAAGGATAAGGAGCATATACTGCAAAGACAGCTCTTTAAAGAAACTCAGGGCTGGATTTTGGAGCTTGGGATTGTCCCATCCACAGCAAACTCAGTCATGACCCTCCGAGCCAAGGGATTGGTGGTCTTGAGAAGTTCAGCTGCAGACGTTCGGATGCCTGAGGCCCCCTTGCCACCTTTCTTCTGAAGGAGAGCCTTAAAGTCCTCATTTCTGCTCGAGGCTCGGCTTGTGCTGGAAGGGCATTCATTGATCACAAGCCCTGCGGCGTTCTTGATGGGCATCTGGGAATTTGGTCGGTTGCCAAAAGAGTCACTGGGTTCCTTCCATCCCAGCAACTTCCTCTTGGATCTGTGAACAAAGGGATGATGAGACAAACTTGAGGGAGAAATAAAGCGACGACCACTACCATAACCAACACTTGATAGCCTGGGAGCCAGCTGGAAGCTAGGGAAATATTTCTAATGGTACACAAGCTACAAGTCATCCATCCATCCATCATCCCATCCATCATCCCATCCATCCATCATCCCATCCATCCATTCATCCATCCCATCCATCCATCCACCCACCCACCCACCCACCCACCCACCCATCCATCCATCATCCCATCCGTCCATGCATCCGTCCATGCACCCATCCATGCATCCATCCACCATCTGCAAGAGCTCAAAGTACCATAGAAGAGAATATGTGTAGCTCAGGGTTGAACCGTGGGGTCCTTGGTTCTCTCTGCGCTTGGCTGTTTTCTTGCAGACATTCCATTACCTGACCAGGTAAACATCATCATTATCTGAGGTTGGGTAATTAAACTGGTGGGACTGAAATGGCCGGTTCCTTTTGTTTTCAACTTGGGAAAGGTTGGGTAACTTTCAAAAAAGTAATGTAGGAGCTGAACGGGAGCCTACCACGTTTATGTAACTTCTCTATTTTTCTAAGACAAAAAGTGTTCTAATCTGGCAATTTGTCACCAGATCTCACATGTGAGGCTGAGGGGGAGGGTTCCGCAAAAAAAAGAAGAAGAATAAACAGGAGGAAGGCTGGGGCCCATAGCTCAAAGATTGGCAACTGTGAATGGCTAGGAGACCTGCTAAAAGAAGCTTCTGCACCTATGCCAGGTCAACTTAAGGAGCAACAGAGACACCAACCAAGAAAGATGAGCTGAATCTAAATCTTTTTCTCACTCAAGGCAGACTGGCTGGTAGGAGGGAAGGTAGCCCCAGGAATCTGGGTTGGGCAAGCAGCACACAACAGTCTCTCAAGAGTTGTCTCCTGGATAAACTCCCACCTGTGAATGACAGTGAATAAATCTTCTGTGGTTCGGGTTGTCACAAAAACATCATCATCTTCCTCAGTTATGGACTCAGCTGTTTTGTCGCTTACGAAGTGTTTCTCTCTGCTCCTCAAACCCACAGAATTCCCTATGGAAAAGAAAATGAGAACCTTGGAAAAAAAATAGGTCACTTCCACGAGTGGGATTCAGACAGCAAGTAGGACACAAAAAGAAACAGGGTGTTCCTCAAACGGTGATAGGCAGCATTTGCGTACGACGGAAGGGGAATAAAATAGGGTACAGTACTTTTTTGGGAAGATATTGGTTTGAGTCTTCCCACCATCTTCAGAAAACCCATCCAGTTGACCACAGAAAGGCGAAAACAGCATTCTTTCTCCCTTTGCTGCCATTCAGTGGTTGACTGGATTTTTGCAACTCTAATCTGCAAGACCTGCACCGTAAATATCACATTAGTCTACAATCCCATTAGCGTACATTAGCCGAGTGTCCTGTCCTACACATTCTGCAGATATTTTGACCAGTGCCTAGAATTCCATGGCACTCAGGAAATTTCTCTTTAGTTTACATTTACTCCTTAACTGATTTAAGGCCTTCCCTCAACACCCTGACGTAGAAAAAGCAAGAAGGCTTACCTGAAATGTCACCCCATGATAGGTCTGCGGCAGTTGGACTTACATTCACCTCATTGGCAACAGGAGACGGCACTTGGTAGGTGGTCAGTTCTGAGTAGGCAGAATCCTCATCTAGCATGATAACTGGGCTAGGAGGCAACCTCTGATCCCCAGGACAAGGCCCTGGATGGCGTGGGGAAGTCACCAAAGGCAGGTAAAGTACACTAGGCTTCTTTGGGACAGGAGGTGGGACTTTAGTTTTACGGCTCTCTCCCCCAGGCACCACCTCGTCGAGAGCCTTGGCCTTCATCTGCTCATCCTCCTCCAAGCTGTCCTCAGAGAGTCTCCGCGCAGTGGAGAAGAATGTCCCTGTGGGGCCTTGTGTGGGAGAAGCTGCCCCCTCAGCAGAAGGGGATTCTGTGGGGCTCCACGTGCCTGCATCCCACAGGTGGTCTGGCCTCTGGGCCACCATGTAAACGTTCTCCCCAGGGACCAATCCTTGGGGTGCAGCTGGAGAAGTTGGAGAGCTCACGGGAGACTCCTCCTGGACTGGTGGCGTTTTATGCAACAGCATCGGTGGCCTTCGGGAGAGGGGTGGCTTTTCTGCCACTGGGGGCCGGACTTTCTTGCCAGGTTCCTCAAGTAGCTCTGGACCGTCCATATTATCCTCAGTCTCAGATCGGCTGACCGAACGCAAACGGACAGAACGCAGGTCTAGCTGGGTCACCATTGGCATAACTGGCTGCACCGGACTCAGCTTCGGGCCCAACTTGGCTCCAAAGGTAGAATCCGAGTGGTGTCGGCTTACTTTGGCTTTGCTCTTGTGCGAGATCTTCAAGCCTGAGAGGTCCAGATGTGTCGGTGGGGCAAAGGGCAGGTCGAACGAGAGACGAGACTTGGGGCTTCGTTCCATAGGAGAAACAGGGGGTAGGGAGGACTTCCTCTCCGGCACAAGGGGCCTTGTCCGTCCACTCTGGTGAGGAGCATGACCCAGAACCATGGATGTTGGAACGGTTGGGGTTGGCGTTTCAGACTGACTGGAGTAGCCACTGGAGGGAGACATTAGCCCTGTCAACCTCCCCGGGGAAGAGGTTTTCAAACTCATGTCAGCACACAGGTGAGATGGGGTGGTGGCCCGGGAGACGGAAGGAGATGGGAGGGACTCAGAACTACCACGTTCCTTGGACAGTTCAATTACAGTAGTCCCAGTAGCAGTGCTGGATCCGGACAAGGAGCAATAAGGATCCCCAGAATTCCATTCAGGCATAAAGCCCTGCTGGGCATACGGCCTGCTTTCCAATTCCCTTGTTGGATCACCTTGGACTTTGCTGTGGACCTGTGCATCAGGCAGCAAATAAAGACTTTTGGGTCTCTGATCCTGGGGCAGTGCCTCGCCACTCACTTCTGCTTCGCTGACTTGCCCTTCTTTGATCAAGGAGACGCTGCGCATGGGTGGGCAAGGCTTCTTCTTGGCCTTCTTGAGAGAGATGCTCTTGGTTCGTTGTCGACGCTGCCTTCGGGCCTCTTGCTCCAGAGCCAGGGAGATGTTGTCTGTGCTGGTGCTCCCCTCCGAACTGGCACTGGGATAACTAAGGCCACAGGTCTCACTGCCCCCAATGTCCACTGAGCACAGGGAGGCTGTGTCTGTAGGGACAGAAAGTGACCTCTCACGGAATTTGCACATGATTCTCTCCCTCTCCAGTTGGGACGATTCCTCTTCACTTGAGTTGACAAGGGCTGCAGGGACTTTGACGTCTCTTGTTCCACACCTCGAGCTTCCCTCAGCCTCTAGGGGGGACTCAGGAGAAGTGCAAAACCTCCCACACTCATTCACCCCAGCCATATTGTCTTGGCTAATGAAGAAGGAAGAAAGTTGATCTGCCTCTGGAGTGTCCCTGGGTGTGCAAGGAGACATCTGAGATGCGCTCTCTGCTGCCACCTCATTTTGGCTCACAGAAGAGTTGGTGTAGCAGAAGGAGGATGTGCTGCAACCAGGAGAGAAGATGGAGTCCTCTTTGGGGCCATTGCACAATGGGCTGGCATACATCACCTTGGGGTTCTCAGCACGGCTTGCTTGGATTTGGCAACCTCGTCCCTGTAGGACTCCTCCGAGATCACTGAAGGTCTTTCTCAGCTGTGGTCGGGACTGAGGAGAACGGGCTTGGCGAGTGGAGCTCCTTCCATTGACCACATCAGGGACAAAATTGCAAGAGATGGACTCAGCTATGGTGGCTGGTGGGTTGACGATGGGCCCATTGCTACTTCCTAGAGAAGAATTACAAAAGCAAGGATGAAACAGAGTAGAGAAGCTCTTTAAGACTTGTGGATGTCAACTCCCAGAATTCTGTCTGTTCAAGCCAGCTAGGGAATTCTGACAATTGAGGTCCACAAGTCTTAAAAACTGCCAGTACCTTGCTTAGCTACACAACATGGCACTGATTAAAGCAAAGAGCCTTTTATTCAGCTTTGGGTGCACCCTGGCCTCCTACGTATATTTTAAATCAACAAATAAAATAAATATCTTTACGACTGACCAGCAAAAAACAAAAGAGCAAAGGAGCAGCTGCCCCACCAGTTGGTCACCTGGATCACGTAGAGAGAGGTGGGGGAAACCAATCACGGTCCGTCTTCGGCGTAGCAAAGACTTGGGATTCATGGCAGTCTCTGTATTGAACAAGGAGTGTCGTGCGCTGGCGTGTCGAGCAAATGGCTGCCCTGGAACCAAGACAAAGAGATTCAGTGGTCCAAGCAGAGACTAGGAAGCCCAGAAGATGACAACAGACAGGAGAGGCAGATGTCCTTAACTCGTGTTTCTCAATCTCAGCAGCTTTAAGATGGGTGGTCTTCAATGTCCAGAATTCCCCAGCTGGCTTCAACAGAGAGACGGTTTTCATGAAGGTGTGTAATTGTGACAGGAATGGAGGGACAAAACCCACCAGCACCCTCTAAAAATCTCAAGCTTTTGCTGCACCGAGTTTGAATTTATTAGATGCTGATAGTGATAGGACCACAAATATAGGCTAACATTACATGCAGTCCTCATTTAATGACCATAGTTGGAACCAGCAACTTGGTTGTTAAGTGAAGAAGTTGCTAAGTGAAACCCTGACTGTGTTTTCAATCTTACTTCAGCTTTCCTTTGCTTTACAGACCCATGAAAGTCATAAATGAGAGGACGGGTCACAAAGTTGCTTTTTTTTTCATGACCACTCTTGCTGCGAATAGTCACAAAATGAGGCAGCTGCTAAGCAAGGACTCCCTGTACGTGCAACACTCACAAAAAATGCCCAAAATGAGATGGAAGAAATATTTGAGAAACCCCAGTCAAATGCTCTATAGTCTAGTGGAGCACGTTGCACATCTGCATGCACAGAAGTCCAGACGCAAAGCTTCAATGCCTGTTGCACTTTTCTCTCTCCTGAACGAACGTGCTGAGCTTAGATGCTTTTCCTTGCAATTCCTCCATCATTTCATTATAAGAAACTGCCCTTACACACACACACACACACACACACACACACACACACACACACACACACACACGATCTATTCTACCTGAGACGTTGATGGGGATGATGTTTGCTTGGGTGGAACAGGGCTGTTGTAATCTCTTTTCCTCCAGAGCAGGCAGAGGGGATCCCTGGATCCAAGCTGTGTGTTTGTCTGGAGTAGCAGGCAAGCTAAGCGAAGGCTCCAGCACTCTTATCCCCAGGCTCGTTGTTTCATTCTCCTTTACTTGCTGGCTTGTAGGCTGTCGGAAAGAGGTATTGATGGGGGAAAGAATCAGCTTAAGCCCACCAGCCACAATATTTCCCTTAGCAAGCTACAAAGGACCAGACTCACCATGAAGACGAACTCCATGCGTTTGTTGGGTGGAGGGCGAGGGCTACACTCGAGATGCCTGTCCACTGAAGGAGAGCTGGCATAGCGGAAAGTTTGGCCACTGATCTTGGCATCAGAATATGGCTCCTCATACTCTTCTGGAAGGAAGGAAGGAAGGAAGGAAGGAAGGAAGGAAGGAAGGAAGGAAGGAAGGAAGGGAGTTAGAATAATTTGTACACAATCCATTCTTCACCTATCCTTGGGCAAGGGCACTTTCATTTCCTCTTTAAATGTTTTTCAATCCGTAATGTTGAGTCACAATCTTTTCAAAATGGCCTTGACTTCTTCCACGTACTAGACTTTCTCTTTTAAAAGTATAACTGCTTATCTGATGAGGAGCTCTGTAAAATTGGGAAGTTTGGAATTCTTTTATGTTATTTTGTTTGGATTTTGCAAAGGGGTAACTAGCTATTTTTTTAACCCTCCTCCCCAAAATGTGATATTACAAAACACCTATTTTTTCCGCCTCCCCAAAATGGCCTCTTCTGAGGTAATAACACTGGTTCATGGAGAAGTGGATTTTGCTTGATGAAGAAAGAAAGAGGGAAAAACCACACCCAACCTGTAAGATAGATAGATAGATAGATAGATAGATAGATAGATAGATAGATAGATAGATAGATAGATGAAAAATAGATAAATAGATATAGATGAAAGATGATAGAGATGATATAGATAGATAGATAGATAGATAGATAGACAGACAGATAGACAGATGAAAGATAGATAGATAAATAGATATAGATGAAAGATAATAGATAGAGATGATATAGATAGATGATAGATAGATAGATAGAGAGCGAGAGAGATTATACATAGATGATAGAGAGAAAGCGTGTGTGAGAGAGAGATGAGATAGATAGATAGACAGACAGATACATAAATAGATAGATATGCTAGAGATAGAGATGATAGATAGATATGCTAGAGATAGATAGAGCTGAGAGAGAGAGAGAGAGAGAGAGAGAGAGAGAGAGAGAGAGAGAGAGAGAGAGAGAGAGATTCAGTACCTTGCAGCAAACTTTGGAGATTGAGCTCAGCTTCATGGTGCAAGTCCTCCACACCAACAGGTCGAGCCAAAAATATGTTGACTGGTTGATGCCATAACAGCTTGGGTGGGGTAGGCTTCTTCACATCCAGATCTAAGTTGGAAGTAGCTGGAGAGAAAAAAACAACAACAAAGAGGAAGAAAGAGAACAAAGTTTGTGTTAGGATTCAAGAGACACAAGAGAGATATTTCCGGATGTGATTGCACAACCCAACACGATCTACTTTTGAACTACAGGAAGTTCCCAACTTGCAACCATTCATTTATCGACCATTTTGACGCTACAGTGGCGCTGGAAAAAGTGACCCATGATCAATCCAGACACTAATGACCATCGCAATATCCCCATAATCATGGCATCAAAATTTCAGCACTTGGCAACATGTTATTTACAATGGCTGCAGGGTCACATGATCCCCGTTTGTGACTTTCCTAGCTGGTTTCCATCAATGGGGAAGCCAGGTTCACTTAACAACACATGAGTCATGTAACAACTGTAGGGATCCACTCAATAACCATGCCAAGAGAAAAATTGTAAAATCAGGAAGAACTCACTTAATAACTGCCTTGCTTAGCAACGGAAATTCTGATCCCAACTGTGGTCATAAGGCGAGGAGGACTGCCTTTACTTAGCTCTTGCCATTTGCAATAATTTTTTTTAGCAGGAGAGCGAAATATTAAGCCTAATGCAGCAAAATCCAAGCAGATTAATCACTGTAAATTGAAACCTTTGATCCGATTTGGCTCAACCCTTCAAACCAATTCAATCAATCTGATTTAGTGTCAAATCATCAAATGTTATTTTGAAAGCACCGTATCTATCTATTCCTGGTCAGAGCTGTCTGTGTCGATGGGTTGGCAGTGTTCCAATACTTGAGGGGTTGCCACAAAGAAGAAGAGGGGGTCAACTTATTTTCCAAGGCACCAGAAGGCAAGATGAGAAACAATGGATAGAAACTTATCAAGGAGAGAAACAACCTGGAATTAAGGAGAAACTTCCTAACAGTGAGGACAATTAAGCAGTGGAACAGCTTTGCCTCCAGAAATTGTGGGCGCCCCATCACTGGAGGTTTTTAAGAAGAGACTAGACATTCACCTGTCTGAGACAGTATAGGTTCTCCTGCTTGAGCAGGGGGCTGGACTAGAAGACCTCTAAGGTCCCTTCCAGTTCTATTCTGATTGATTGATTGTATCCAACACCACCATTTAATTTATCTTTCATCTAGCTTGCTTGTGAACTGAACATTCCCCCAGAACTGACTATTCGCACAATCTTTTTCCAAACATTGTATGCAGTGGTGGGATTCAAGTAGGTGAACAACCAGTTCTCTGTGTGGATGCCACTTCTGGAAGTCCATTCTGGGCCTGGGCAACCAAAAATTAGCTACCGGTTCTGCCAAACTGGCTGAATCTCATCACTGATTGTATGCCACCTTCTCTTCTTTACAGCTCTTCAAATGGGTGGGGGAGGTTTTTTTCTGGAAAAAGTTGCCTTGGAACAATCTTTTATTGCTTTAGCTCAACTGGAGATCACAAGTTTAGCATGCTCACTTGACTTTTATTTAATAAACAAGACTTGCAAAATATGACAATACTTATTGGCTTTATTAGACAACCAAAGACTTTTTCTCCCTTTTGTAACAATGTTATCTCTATGGGATGCATAAACAACTCTGCTGGAAGGAAATGAATTGAAATGCTTGAGTAGGAAAAAAATAAATACAGAGATGCAGCATCTCCCGAGAGTTAGTGTGATCAAGAAATGTACAAATAATTACTATCAAAGTGGCTGTAGGAGAGATTCTCTTCCCCTCCCTTTCTCATGTTCTTTCCTTCCTAAAAGCTCTTGTTTTTTGAGTGGGAAGCTGAATTTCCTTTCATATTGCTTTCTCTCCAAAACAATAATCCATCCTTGGTTTCAGTAGGTGGGAAATTACTCACACTGGTGTTCTACAGAAGAAGAGAGCTGCTCTTAAGGAATCTGTCGGGTTTCAGACCAAATCTGTTCTGATCCAAAGATTCAATTCTTTGGGGTTCTATTGCACCTAGGGCAGTGATGGCGAACCTTTTAGAGACCGAGTGCCCAAACTGCAACCCCAAACCCACTTATGCATCGTTGGGTGCTGGGTGGGTATGGCCCATTGGATGGGTGTGGCCCATTGGATGGGCGTGGCTACGGTGATAACGGCAGACTGGGTGGGACTAAAAAGTTCAATCAATCAATTCCAACTTTGCAAGATCTTTTTTTTCCCCGTGAGAAGTTGAAATTGACTGATTGATTGAACCTTTTTTTTTTTTTTGCACATGGCGGTGGAGGCCTAAAGCAAAAAGGTTTTATAAAACCCAGCTGAAGGCCTAGGACTGGGGCGACGGCATGCGTGCCCAAAGAGAGGGCTCTGAGTGCCGCCTCTGGCACCCGTGCCATAGGTTCGCCTAGGAGGACACCCATTGCAGTCCATTTTCACAAAAGGCACAGTTCACATAACATGTGAGATGAGGCTGAAACAGTCTTTTATATTTTATGAGATTGGGTGAACATCCATTGTATTAACCTTAACCTCCAATCTGGCATGGTGCAGCTGATTATTGGGGGGAGGGAGAGAGAAATAGAACAGAACAGCAAACATAATTGCAAATACTGATATTGTCTTTGATTAAAACAACAGGTCTCAAACTGCGGTCTGGGAGCTCCTTGTAAGAAAAGGAGTGGCAGAGCCTGGAGGCAGAGTTAAGAGAGGGATCAGCCTAGAATCCCTACATAGCCACAAGCGAGTCCAATTCCCTTGAATTATATGGATCCTTCTCTAGCTCTAAGCAGGTGCTGTTAGTTGAGAAGATTCCTGCAGATAGGCTGCTTAACAATAAATCAGATTAATTGGACCTTCACCTGTGAACCTGGCCTTTGACTCCTGACAAGCCCAGCGGATCCAAGATCTTTTCAGGGGTCCATGAAGTCAAATAAATAAATATTTTAAAAGTCTCAGTTTTAATCTCTGATACAATAAATAGCGAGAGACATAACCATCAACCAAAGCTTGTTGAAGTCCTCAGTTATTCTGAAGATGGCAAAGAAGAGGTCCAGAGGCCAAAATGTTTGAGAAGTCCAGTGTTAGAAGTATGTATGAAAACACCCAACTTCACAAGGATGCTGAGGTTCGGGGAATAAACAAAATATTCTATAATACTGTATACTTGATAGAACTTTCTATGCCAGTGGAAAGTTCCCTGATCGTGTTCTCCTACATCAGTAGTTCTCAACCTTTTTAATGCCGCGACCCCCAACTGGTTGTAAGTCGAGGACTACTCAACTGGTGCAGCACTGTTTGCAGGATGGGACTTTTGGCGGGCTCAGCAGGGCAGAGACAGCCTGGACAATTCCTATTGGCTTTTGAAAGCCAATAGAATTAGACTCTATTCAAGAGAGTCTATTCTATTGGCTTTCAAAAGCCAATAGAATAAAAGGGAGTAGCACAGCTAAGGAAAAGGGGGGAAAAATGGCAGACTGCGTTGTTTGGCGACCCCCGTGGTCGTTCGACCCCAAATGGGGTCCCGACCCACAGGTTGAGAACCACTGTCCTACATGAACTGCCTTTGTTGTCTTTAAATTTCCAAACATAGTAAACTGTTTTCCTTGAAAATTATCACCGATTATATGGAATGCTTATAGATGTTTTAAGACCCGATTGTTCAATAACCTCCAATTGCTTTGCATTATTTAAATGTCAGCAGGAGAGAAAGGAACGAAGAGACTGAAAAATGGCGACTATATTAATTTTAGCATGCGGCGATACACACGTTGCCCTGAGTGGAAATTCAATTGGTAGCATGCAAATCGGATGAATAAATAAACGTTTGTGTCCCAAGGCAAACGATGCTGCAAAAAGCTAATTACAACTTGAATTTTTCCGTTCCAGTTGCTCAAGTTGATTTGCATGGTATTTGTCTAATTGCGTTGCTACTAATTCATTTTCAGCAACGACGACGCTCTAATAATATGGGGAGGGGGGAATTCATAGGAAAATCTAGCAAGAAGGGGGGTGGGAAAAACGAAAACCGCCTTCCTATTTGTGATGGTTCCAAACCAGATCCAGGGAAACCCTAGGAGAGCAATTCCATCAAGGAATTAAAGAACTCTAATGGAAACATTTTGAGCTTCTTAAAAAAAAAGTAGAACATACAAGCTTGCCAGCAGGTGTGATTGTGTGTAGATTTAGCCAGGCTAAAAGAAGAGGCAGAGATGGGAGACCACAACTGTTTTCTTCTCCAGAAATATCAATGCATATAAAACAGAATTTTAAGGATAAAAGAGAAGGAACTAAGCTTAAATCACCAAGCTGTAGAGAGCTAGTGGCGGGTCCTAAGGCATTAAGCAAGATATCGCCTTCAAGTTGAACTGTGACTACACAGTCACGTCCATGTGGTTTTCGTCGCAACAGCATGTTGAATCTTGCCACTGTCTCCTTTCACATTTTATTTTTAAATAGTCTAACTTTCAGACTTGGAATATCCTGGCAGTCATCCATCTCCAGTCTTCTGAAAGTCTTGCATAAATTAGTGTTTCTCAGCCTTGGCAATTTGAAGATGTGTGGACTTCAACTCCCAGAATTCCAGTTCCAGTTCCAATCTATTCAATTTTAGGAGAATTCTAAAGAGCCCCAAGCAATAATCAGCCCTGCATTTCACAGAGGCAGAAGGGCTATGTGGTCTCAAATATGATTAGGGGCCTGGAGGCTAAAATATATGAAGAACGGTTGCAGGAATGGCCAGTCTAGAGAAAAGAAGGACGAGGGGTGACGTGAGAGCAGCGTTCCAATATTTCAGGTGTTGCCACAAAGAAGAAGGGGGTCACCTTATTTTCCAAAGAACCAGAAGGCAAGACAAAAAAACAATGGATGGGAACTAATCAAGGAGAGAAGCAACCTGGAATTAAAGAATGAGAACAATGAAGCAGTGGAACAGAAGTTGCCTTCAGAAGTTGTGGGGTGCTTCATCGCTGGAGGTTTTTAAGAAGAGACTGGACAACCACTTGTCTGAAATGGTATAGATCAGTGGTTCTCAACCTTTTTAATGCCGCGACCCCCAACCGGTCGTAAGTCGAGGACTACTCAA